TTTTTCCAACCTTATTTATAGAATAAAATCACAGAAGTTGGCAGCTGTTTATTTATTTATTTATTTATTTATTAATTATCCCTCTCTTGTTCTGGGCCCTCAACAGGATAGTGTACTCGCGCTCAACGGCATAATCTTGTGAGAATACCTATCGGGAAATTTTCGGGAAAATGGAAAATATGTCCTATAGGCATTGTCGCACTATTAGGGCGACGTGTGCGGGTGCATCATCCTGTTGAAGCCGACAGTTTCCAACTTTTTTTTCTGTGTGCCGTACATTGTTGTAGTCGTAATAAAAAATGCTACTCAATACTGTATGTACTTTTTTTACGGACCATATAAAAAATAAAGTTGGTGATGATTTCTCTGAAACGAAAGTTGTATTGAAAATCTCTTAACGCTGTCTTGTACAGTTCAAAAAGTGGTAATGAAATAGTATATTGAAAGACAAGTGTCCACAAGATAGGAGTATTACAATAAAGCATTTTAACACGTGTTTTTCATACTATTTTTTCTATTTCGGGGCTTTAAATTAATTAAAAAGTAATTATGAAAAACTACAGGAAACTTTAGAATTAATATGTCTTAAGTTGGCAACACCATTTACGTTGACAAATTTTAAGTTGGCAGCGTAGATAAACACAACACTGACATTTGGAAACTTTAAATTCCGTGAATGTGTAATTTTTTATTCGTAGATAAATTTATTTATGGTGGATGTGTAAACTGCTGATTTGGAATGTATTAAGTTCTTCGTGTACCAAAAATCAAAGAAAACACATAAATTTTACGTAATTTGATTTCACATCTAATGATTTGACGTTGACGTCTTGGCGAACTGCCAACTTAGAGATGAAAAGTTACCAAAAACAATGTTACAATGGAACTCATTGAAACACTGTTTTTGCCGAAAACAGTTGCACAAAATTCTCATTGTAACACCGAAATAGAAAAAAGTGTTATTTTTCGTATCTGTTCCAATATCAGAACAAAATAAAAACGATATCGGCAATTTCGGTTTTTCTGACGTATCTTCGGAAGTATTCGGAATTTTCCGGTTTTCTTTAAAGCATGATAATAACTCTTTAATTTTTATTTTTATGGCCTTTATTTTATAGTGAGAGGAGAGTTAGGTGGTATGGGGAATCGAAAACGTCCTATTTTGGTTTTGATCCGTAACCATCTTCGTGGTTGTCGAGGGTGTCAAAAGTTTAAAGGAGCCATAACAGCTTGAAAAATTTTTTTAAAATTTTTCTCGCATACGCTGACCAAAATGGCTTAAAAAAAATTTCATTACAATTTTTTTTGTGAGTTCCTTTGTTTTTGAGAAGTTTTTTTATTTTTCTAAATTTGCAATTTTTCTCTAAAAGTAAGCATCAGAGTGAAAAATGTTAATTACAAAAAAGATGTGTCTTGATGAGATCTACAAAAAAGGCTTGTGCACTTTTTGCGTCGAGTTCAAAATAAAGGCGCTAGAGGGCATTTTCTTAATGACATACTATGACCAAAGATAATTGCCATTACTCTATTAAAAGTAGTCGGAAAGTCACGAGGAAAGTCAAGTTAGGAGTTTACCTGACAACTAGTTTCCCGTAAAATCGAATGCTGAAATCAGTGTTTGACAAATTTCCAAAATTTAAACCAATTATTAAGATTTACTAGGAAATTCAATGTTACTGAAGTAGTTATTGGAGTTTTTCTATTTTTTGAGCTTCTTCTTTAATAGGGACTATAATTTTTTTTTATATTATACCTGAATCACAATCTCCGTTTTAAACACTCAAATGCGTGCGAAAAAGGGCCTTTAAAACACACGTGCTTTAAAGTTGCTAAGTAACGATACTTCAAGTATGACTTTTGAAACTGTCATCTGGATGAAATAAAAAATCCTCTTAGGTCGCTTTCTGTAAATGCAGAACATTTCTTTGGCTTTTGTACCTATCCTTTGGTTGAAGCTTTCACAAACGCGCGTAATTTAGGGTATGCTTCCAAATCTGTTCCACTTTTTAATCGCAGCATTGCTTTAAAGTTTTGAATGAATGCACCAAAATATAGAAGATTTAAATACCTTTGACATTTCCTTCATATATGCCAGCATTATGGATGCATTTAAGACTGTATTCGTAAGTAACTTCCTATTCATCCATGGAAACAACTTTTCATATTCTTTATAATAGGCTTTACTGGAGTTGGATTTTACACCTACCAACGTTTGTTTAGATTTTACAACAATCGATTTAATGGACGGTGTATTATCTTTTTCAACGGAAATCGTTTAATTCACAAAGACGATGATTTTTATAAGCAAACGTCAAGTGACATTTCCATGGCAATCGTGAAATTACGAACACCCAGCCCACTTAATTAGACATGTATTCGAGTATAACGTCAATATGACTTCATTGTATTTCCTATTTTTAAATTATACTGCAGGTATAATAAAAAATACTATAAGATACACGTGTATAATTGATCTTTAAAGCACTTGCAACGTTAAAGGCACTCCGCTTTGCGTCGTGCCCTTAAACTCGTTGCGCGTGCTTTAAAGACTTGATTATACACTTGTATCTTAATATACTATTATATCATCAAAAAGTATATATAAAAACGAAGAAAATGACACCAAACAGAACTCTCTATACGATAAATCTCTGAAGGATTGTTTTCATTTGAAAAAAAAATGTTTTGCCGAAAAAAACGAATATTTCGGAAACCTCTTCATTTTTATATTTAAAAAATTTGTAGTTGAACCATAACAAAGTATATTTCAACCAATTTTCGTTAAAATAAAACCATTTTTGCGGAAATGAACAATAAAAAACAAAAAAACACGGTTTACCGCGATTTTTTCGGTTATTTTCCGGTTATGTGAGAAAGTGACTGGAAAGAATGCTGTAGAGTTTTTCAGGATTTACTTTTCCGTTGAACACTTTCGTTTCTGAACTTAAATTTTGTCGGGAATTGCAGTCACACGGTTTTCGCCCTTTTCACCCTCCCCAAAAACTTAGTCCCACTACCCTGCTCATGTATTCATTTTTTTAGCGCATTTTTGCAAAAAATTTTTTTTGTAAAAAGTAGCTTTTAATCTCACTTTGGCTGGCTGGCTGGCTGGCTGGCTGGTCGGCTGGCTGGCTGGCTGGCTGGCTGGCAATAAATGCGCGCCCGTAGAAAAACGCTTGTAAAAAGACAAGGAGTGTACATGTAACTATCGGGGCCGTGTAATTAAGAACGTTAGGGATGGGGCTACAAGATTTGGAGTCGACGACATCTGGACGCCATCCCCGAGCGTATTATACTAACCTGGAGATTTTTCAGTTTTTATCTATCTTCTTCTACAGTTTTTCTCCGATTGTTTTCAAATTGGTGTCGTCGGGAAGATCTTGTCAACGCGCACAACTCCTGCGTCGCGGAATTTTGTTTTTTTTTCCTAGGGGCGACATAAACCACCTTTTGCGCGGCGCGCTTCGAGGGGTAGACGACTTTGGGCGCCCAAAAGTTTCTTACAGCGCGAATCGCGGTCTCTCTTTCTCGTGTCACTAATAGAAGGTCGAGCTATGTGAAGTACCCAAAAGTTGAATACGATTTTATGCCGGGATTTTAGCGAAATCTACCAAAATGTGAATTACGAGTGAACGGGACGTCGGAACTGTGTATCGACAAAGGGAATGTGGTAACCCCCGACGAGATCTTACTGATGGTGGAGTCGAAACTTCAAATCCGAATTGTTGCGGGTGATCAGAAGTGGGTGTCGACAAAGGGAATATGGTAACCCCCAAAGGATTTTAATGATGGTGGAGTCAAAACTTCAAACGCGAATTGCGAGTGCACGGTAAGTGAACGTGGTAGCTTTCGGCAAGATCTTATTGATGGTGGAGTCCATATTGGCTAATAAAACACTGATCTGCCACACAAAAATGCGCTGAAGTCCCTTCGATCTCACACGAGGACTTTGATCATTTTTTTGTATTTGTTATAGACCATTTTAACATATCCACTTGATAAAGCTCCATTAACTTTTTGCCTAAAATATGGTTAATTCGCCTAACAGTCACGAAAGAAATGAAGTAGTACCTACCACTTCCAGATGTACCCGTTGATCAGGTTGACGATAAGAGAATTTGCGTGATCACACAACATTAAAAGCACCCCCCATTTTCAAGAACTTCGAGTTAAAATTGGATTAAAATCATCTTGATGAAAGATAAAACCTTTCTTCTAATACAAGCAAAAGAATCGTATGCTTCGGCAAATTTGTTAACAATCACCAACTTTCCAATACTTTGTTGTTCGGGTATTTTTACTTGAAGTTTTGAATCCACCTAGGGATGCGTTCGTTCAGCCCTTTTCCTTTGTGAGTATCGCTTCCTACTTTCCGTACTCGAGCCTTGGCTCCCCATAGTCCCCATCCCCACCTTGGTCTTAAATGAGCGAATATGTGCATGCATTTAAGGAGGATTTCAGTGAGATCTTTTTTACAAAATGATTGCGCCCACTGCACTGCCGACGGAATTTTCAAAACGAGATTAAACTAACATTAATAAATCCTCCTTTTAGCACGTGGGGCGCGGCTAAATTTGTAAAAAAAACTTGTTGGTATATCGGATAATGGTTTATTGGTCTCGGTTACAAAAGATCTAAGGAATGTGATGCAACGACCACATCTCGCATTTCGCTTCTGGCCTAAAATTAGATACAAATTGATGATTGGAGAATCAAACACATTTTCCCCCCAAAATCACGACAGTCGCATCTGAAGAAAGTATATTTGAAGAAAACAGGCGTTTTCAATTCCGCACCCCTTTAAAGATCAAGAGAAGAACGAACGGCTGGGCTCATCAATTTGTAAAAATGAAGGCACCGAAATTGAAAGCATATTATATTAATACCTCCTAATGTAATATGCAATTCATACCTAATGGTGTAATTCCTCCTTCGGCTGGCAAGAAACGACTGGTCCACTTTCTAAAAGCTGTTAGTGTACGTTCTTCGAGCAAGCACAGGTGACTTCAGACAGTTATTCAGTGTCTGGTAGACCTCCATTCAGTTAAAGAGTTTTTAATTAACCGCCTTTTAAAACCGCGCGTGACACGCGCCCTGGGGGTTGTTCAAATTTTTGCGACAAAAAAATTGGTATCAACAATTGAACCGTCCAACATGTGATTTACTCTTCGACAAAAATTAAAGATTCCTCTTGTGTTTTGTGATAAATTTGTGGCGAAGAAAGTGATTTTACAATGCTGCAGCCCAGAAGGATTGCATTTTATTTCTTCATTTTAGTGTGCTTTGTAACAGGTATGTGCAATTTTGAAAGTATGGAAATTTCCCCTATTATGATACTTTGGTAATGATCGGCCGTTTATAAGAACAAACCTCCGATATTGAAGAATGTAATTAGGACGAGTAGATCCGCTTGAGTGATAGTTGATTTGGTAGAGATTTTGTACTTGCATCACGCATTCAGGAAAATGCTAAATGTTAATGAATGAAACATTAACATCGGCAAGTGTGTTCGGAATTTAAGTAAAAGTTAAATTTAAACTGAAGTTACCATGAAAAGTCAAGGTTTTTGCAATCCAATCTTAAGTTGACAAAGTGAAATGTATTTTACTTACTAATGCGTATGTAAATTGCTAAAATGGTAATGTGGTAATGCAAATTATTGATTTACTTAAAACCTTGTAACCACCGTTATTAAAGAATTGCTTGTTCGAAAATTGCGCGATTTTTTTCGTAAGAAAGCAAGTATATAGGTAACCGTTTTCGCAATGCTTTTGTACCTTAAAAATCTAATGTATTTTCTATGCATATAGTTGCAAACTAGTTTCTGAAATGCATTTAAATAGTTACTTTCACCAGTGAATAATTCCTTAAAAATTTGAAAAATGTAATGAAGTGACTAACTAATAGCAGTCACACTTACATCTTGCTTGGGGGACGAAAATTGGGGCAGTATTGGCACATATTGCCACACGTTTTGAGCGCGTCATGTAATTGAAAATTAAATGTCAACCATTATCACGTGGCCTACAACCTTTAAGTAAGTTAATCCATGTTAGTCCATGTGCAGATTAACGTAGAATTCATTACCACACCTTCGCTGCAAACGAATACCTTCAACGTTATTGCTAATCATCACCCTACTCAGGACAATGGTTAAAAATTCAAAAATTTTGCTGGGACAATAAAATTGTACGCGCCTATTACATGTAGCGTTGCAAGTCTTAAGTTCAAGTTGTAAAAATACTGTTACAGACGTGTAACGGACGAAACTGCAAAGAATTTAAATTAGACTCGTTATTGCTGTGGCCATAAATGAGAAGCGTATTTCTGTACCTTATTGGTATCTCTGTATGGAGCGTAATGCGAAGCCACAGACGACAGAAGATCGCATAGTGAATGGGGTAAGTTTCATCCATTCATTGCGCTTCTGTAACACTTGCCCGCCAGCACGCGAGCTTTTTTTGGTAACTGATACACGCTTTCAAATTTTTTACCGTGGACAAGACTGCACTTTCTTTAGAGAAACGCGTACTTTTGTTCGAGTTTGACCAATTTTGATAAAATAAAAAAGTGCATCGGAAATTGATGTCAGTCCAATCTAACTTCTGAGTAGCCAATTGTTCCAAAATGAGAAAGTATTATTACTAATAGTAAATATTTAGTTGCGTGCTTATTATACCGGAAGGTTCCATACGGTAGCGATTAATGGTCACCTTGGTTTGACTAGCGGTACAAATTGCAAGCTTTATTACCTATACCTTCTCTTATTACCTACAATTTTAAATTAATAATTTATTAGATCTCACACTACAGGGATTTTCATTGTACGCACTCGCTCAAAAATTGTTTTACAGGAAATTGATATGGTCGGGGACCAAAAACGATATGCAAATTAAATATTAAGGTCATTTGCGTGACTTAAATACACACATAACGTTACATAATCCTATCAGAGCAGTCAGTAAACCATGGTAATCCTAAGAAAGAAAGTAAACTTTTTAATTACACTTATAGCAAAAAAGATCTCACGATTTTTTCATATTACAACTCGGAGCAATCGTCCAGCTTCAAAATGATTATGACACATTTCTGCTAATGTAGAAAAATCATTTCTATGCGCAAGGAAATCTCATGGAATCAAACATTAAGTAAGAGTGTGGGAAAATTGACTTATGCACGAAGCAAAGAAGTATCTAGAACAGTTCCTTCCTTGTGAAATTTACAGTGATGACGACCGTATTCCAATTGTTGATTCATTTACTCAAAATGGTAAAAATGGGACTAATTTTTATATAATGAAGTTACGTAATATATATGTACCTATACTTGCAGAACCTGCTACTTTAACAGGAAATTCTTGCATTACACAAATTTTGCGACTTTCTTTTCTGAAACCGTACGGGGGACTTTTTTTTTAGAATCTTACCTATAGTAATATTTGAACTTTCACTATGGTCGTAATTAAAAATCGATTATTCACAAATCCATGGTCATAATATCGATCGATTGCAAAATCTGCAAATTTCAACAAAGTTATTTTACTATGGACGTACAAGATAAACAAATCAATTATTTCTATACCTACCTACCAATTCAGATCAGGTGCAGCACATGTCTTAACCACTCCTCTCTTTTATAGTTCAATGGCATGTGTAGTCGTGTAAGTACTGCAAAATTTTCATGTCTTCGAAGTTTTACACTCATTACAGGTTTAAGTTTGTTTGGGAGTACTTTGGGTATACACCGCGTATTTTGTAAATGAGTGCCATAAATATTTCTATCAATTTTTCAGTATAAGGTTTACACACAAATGTGAAATGAGCAATTGAGTAGGGTTACCAACCGCCTTTTGTGCCAAGGACGTATATTATTAGAAAATCATCCTTGGTCTAGCGGTGGTCAGTTACCGGCAAGTACGGAAAAAAGTCAATATTCGATATGACAAAATATATTATTCGGAATCAACTATTTTATGGGCAATAAATTGATTTATCATGTAATCGTAAGATGCAGAAGATTGAACTAAACAACTTTACTCAAGTTTCCGGACATCCGATTTTGTAATTTTTTTTCCAAAAAAAAACGAAGGAAGTTCTGATCTCCTTTGTTATAGACCAAGAGATAACGACAGATTTTGTGCGATAATTTTTAAACGTCTGTCACCGCAATTTCTTATTGCATAGGTTAGAACTAGCGTGTAAACGTATATCATACGTATATGTTGAGCGGTCCGTTCGACTTTTATGTACTTTTTCAAATTTTGACAACACAACAAACAAAAGTTTATTATAATTTATAATAATATACTAATAATCAAACTTTTAGCAATTTTTGGCACATTACATTGTATATGCTACCAAGCGAATAGACAACGAAAAACGTCTGTCAATGTGTTAGCGCCCTATTATTTCTTCTCTCTTATACATCGTGTTTTTTTATTATTTATTTATTTATTGCATGAGATAGAGAATCGAAATTGTCATATTTTGATATTACATGTTCCTATGGCTATCTTTAACAGTTTCTGATTATTATTCTCATTTCATTGAATTGATCTAAGAATTGATGCCATTTTTTTTTCGTATTTTCTTTTTAGTAGTTGGCCATGATTTTATAACAATTGAATTTTAAACAAATCAAGGAATGGATTCTTTAATATTGTTGATTCTATTCTAAATAATTCATTAATAAATAAGTCATTTATTAAGGATATAGGACCGAACATTTTTGAGAAATCTAGACAGAGTCGTTCAACTGAATTTCTTAAACAACGTATAAGTCTGGAAATTCAGAAAGGTAATGCGATATCTGTTCTAGCAACAATTCCATACCAAAAATGTTTCAACGAAGTTTTTTATATTTTGCATTGAATTTCTTTTGTTAATCTTGCATTTGCAATTGAATTTATTTTTTTTTAATATTCTCTTGTAGAGCTTTGTATCACTTGTGCTTCAACGGTTTGTAGTGCAGTTGGGGGTACAAAATTTCCAAAATTCATACAATTTCGTTCCAGTGTTCGAAATTAAATTTCAAAATAGGTGAAACCACTGCGAGTCATTTTCGATTTTTGAAAAACTTATGTTAACCTATAACAGTAGGTGACGGATTAGTGTCACTAGATTTGTTTAAAATTCGATTGATATAATCATGGCCGACTACTAAAAAGAAAATCCCAAAAAAAGAGTGTCAATTCATTAAAACGAGAATAAGTAGGAATATGTATTGTCAAAATATGCCCATTTCGTTTCTTTATCTCATGCAATAGTAAAAAAATGGTCATTCCATTAAAAAAAACTGAATTTTTAGTCAGATTCATAAATTTGGATCTCCATAGGTGCGGTCGTACGCAACTTAACTTTTTTTTTAAATACACTAAAAGAAAGCCCTATTCATTCTCTATGCACTAATACAAATAGGTTGCCATGACTACAACCGTTTTCAAGTAATCAATTATCAAGGTACCATCTGCAGCCGCCATTTTTTTTCTTACAGTCAAAATAACTTAAAACCGTTCGGCCTTCAGAGTAACGAATAAGTACAAATTTTCAAAAACATACCTATTTTACTTTCCCAAAATCGTTTAACTAAAGCTCCCAAAAAAACACCATGTATTATTCTAAAATTGATAGCACACGTTTATTAATAAACTTTTGTTTGCTGTGTTGTTAAAATTTGAAAAACTACATAAAAATAGAAATGGACTGCTCAACAAACGTATGATACACGTTTACACCCTAGTTCCAACCTATGTAAAGAGAAAACTGTGGTGATAAACGTTTAAAAATCATCGCACAAAATCTCTCGTGATCTTTCGGTATATTACCAATGATTTTTCAACGTGAAACTGAAAATTAGTGTTTGAGAACTAATAAAATTGCGATTTTTGTCCATACAAGAAAAAAGAACAGCATTTTATAAATAATGCTCTGTACCTACGCCCTTTTATTTGAATTAAAGCATAGCATTCAAAAAGATAGATAAAGCTGGATCCATTTCGTTCCGGAAACAGAAACACCTAACGCCTTAACTTACCTTTTATTGTTCTTGAATGAGACATAAAATAACAAGATACGCAGAATCGCATACGATTTTAAGTAGGGGAATTTTTTGCCACTCAGCTCGCATTAGGAAACCAGACTTTTGTTCCGGCTCATATTCAATAGCACTGATCCTTGAACTCGCTGAAATCGATGGGCGAAGGTTTGACATCGCTGTCTCTTTTCGTTCTCGAGTTAGACGGGGAACAGACAGACGGACAAAACCATCACGTAAGAGGAGGATTTTTTTCTTCG